TAGTGCTAGCGTCTCCGAACAGCACTATTCATGGGACCAATTGCAATCGACAGCACTATTCGAGCACTATTTTTTACATGTTATGGTTTACCAGCACTATTTCCGGGCGGTGCTGATGACATGTACCTGAATACCAACAAATTTTCATCGGAAAATTCGAAAAAAAAAATTCCTTGGGCGTTAATGGGTTAATATTCTTGATTTAATGAGATAAAATAAAATATTAGCGATGATATGAAAAACGCACACCACGGAGGACCTTGAAGCTTTTGACCAGAACAAACGCCATCTAACGATGGCATTATAACTAGTTTGACCCTATTTAGATAGTAAAGCTTAAACGAAAATTCAATGCTAGGTAAAAACTTCTTGAAAAGTGCTTGATAAACTTAACAAAATAAATACATTTTTTGATCTTTGCAAGTGCCCTATGACACACACGGAACAAATTTTTTCTTAATATTAGTGATATTTTTCTCGAATCTGTGCCATAGATTTTTTACCACTACGAAGAATTTTTTTCATGGAGACAAAAAGTTGGCTGTGTTGGTACGAAATGCGACAGTGACAGAATTTTTTTATTTTTTATGTGATACGTTTCCAATTGTAAGTATTTCTTTACGTGTGTGTTCATTGGAATTTCAAACTAATTGAGGAGCTGTCTATGATTTTGCATGAGATTCGCTTATAATTTTTTAAGGGAATGCGTAGATTTGTATCAATATCATCGTATCCTACCTATACCTTATTGAGTGATGTAAAGTAAATGTGATGCCGTGTATCCTTGCATCAACTAACACTGTAGCTATTGAACAAAGCAACGCAACCATGGCATGTGAGCCTGAATGTAACGCAAAGGAATGAGTCATGTCGTTTGATCATTCTCATTCTAATTTACATCATGTAAGCGACGGTTGATCTGTGGTCAACTTTGGGTCGACTTCGAAACGGAATGTGTTTTGTGCATGCAGCGAAGATGTGAAATTTTTTAAATTTGAACAGCCACGTGCCATAGTAACACCACTCAACCCTTCAAGAGTGAAAAATATTTACTTTTTAAATTTTTACATTGAATTTGTAGTTTCAAGAAGGTGATGAAAGAATAAATGTAAACATCTGATATTTTCAATGCAAAACATTCGATGTGAAACGCGAAATTAAACACACGTGCACAGGTGAAATTGTAATTCCATCAATTGTTCTGACATTGTTATCTTGAAAAATGTGTGCGATAATATTTTGTGGGCTTTAATTAGAATCGTCATTGCACGTGGATTGAATCATACA